TCGCTGCCCGCCGCGGGAGAGCAGGACTGCTGCGGGGAGCGCGTGGTCATCAACATCTCGGGGCTGCGCTTCGAGACGCAGCTCAAGACCCTCTGCCAGTTCCCCGAGACGCTGCTGGGCGACCCCAAGCGGCGCATGCGGTACTTCGACCCGCTCCGCAACGAGTACTTCTTCGACCGCAACCGGCCCAGCTTCGACGCCATCCTCTACTACTACCAGTCCGGGGGCCGCATCCGCCGGCCGGTCAACGTGCCCATCGACATCTTCTCGGAGGAGATCCGCTTCTACCAGCTGGGCGAGGAGGCCATGGAGAAATTCCGGGAGGACGAGGGCTTCCTGCGCGAGGAGGAGCGGCCGCTGCCCCGCCGCGACTTCCAGCGCCAGGTGTGGCTGCTGTTCGAGTACCCCGAGAGCTCGGGGCCGGCCCGGGGCATCGCCATCGTGTCGGTGGTGGTCATCCTCATCTCCATCGTCATCTTCTGCCTGGAGACGCTGCCCGAGTTCCGCGACGAGAAGGAGTACCCAGCCTCGACGTCGCAGGACCTGCCCGAGGCGGCCAGCAACAGCACGTCGGGGTCCCCCACGGGAGCCTCCAGCTTCTCGGACCCCTTCTTTGTGGTGGAGACCCTGTGCATCATCTGGTTCTCCTTTGAGCTGCTGGTGCGGTTCTTCGCTTGTCCTAGCAAAGCCACCTTCTCGCGAAACATCATGAACCTGATAGACATCGTGGCCATCATCCCTTATTTCATCACGCTGGGCACCGAGCTGGCCGAGCGGCAGGGCAATGGACAGCAAGCCATGTCCCTCGCCATCCTGAGGGTCATCCGCCTGGTGAGGGTCTTCCGCATCTTCAAGCTCTCCCGCCATTCCAAGGGGCTGCAGATCCTGGGGCAGACGCTGAAGGCGTCCATGCGGGAGTTGGGGCTGCTCATTTTCTTCCTCTTCATCGGGGTCATCCTCTTCTCCAGCGCCGTCTACTTTGCTGAAGCAGACGACCCCGCCTCGGGTTTTAGCAGTATCCCGGATGCCTTCTGGTGGGCAGTGGTAACCATGACGACCGTAGGGTACGGTGATATGCACCCAGTGACCATAGGGGGCAAGATTGTGGGGTCACTCTGTGCCATCGCCGGTGTTTTGACCATCGCTTTGCCAGTCCCTGTGATTGTTTCCAACTTCAATTACTTCTACCACCGGGAGACAGAAGGGGAAGAACAAGCCCAGTACCTGCATGTGGGGAGTTGCCAACACCTCTCCGCTTCTGCGGAAGAGCTCGGAAAGGCGAGGAGTAACTCCACGCTGAGTAAGTCTGAGTATATGGTGATCGAAGAAGGAGGTATGAACCATAGCACTTTCCCCCAGACCCCTTTCAAAACGGGCAATTCCACTGCCCCCTGCACCACGAACAATAATCCCAACGCCTGTGTCAACATCAAAAAGATATTCACTGACGTTTAATCTCTGGTCCAAGTGACATGCTGTGCTCAGTATTTGTGGAACGTGCCCCTTGGTCTGTGTACGCCCTTGCTTTATACATTTCCAGACCATTCATCCAGGAAAGGACAGGAAGAAGTGCAGAACACACTTCATTTGCCCTCTCCCGACTGCTTCATACTGAAACAGGTGTCTGTTTTGCAAACGGGCTGCATTCTCTCAGCTCTCCTTTTTTTTTCTCCCTCTCTCTTAATCTTGCAAACAAAAAGCTTACTTAAAACTTGACTTCTAGTACACCCCCTATTTAAAAAAAAAACACAAAACTGGGTACATCCTGGGAGGAAATGAAGCTAAAGAACAGTTAGAGTAACCGTTTCACCTCAAAAGCAACGGCAGCAGTTTCTTTACTGAGTAAAGCAGGCACATGCTTAATGCTTCAGTGTGATGGACCCTTCAGCTCATTGAGTGTTTAGTTTTGTTGCCTACACTGTGGATATGTGGATGCAAAGTCTCACTGGAACAATGACTTGTAGAACCATCTTAAGTTTATTTGGTTTTGGATAGAATTTCTATTTGGGAACCCCCTTCCCCAAATGTTAAGGCTCTCTCCAACTTTGAGCAAAGGGAAATGCTCAGAGTGTTCCGTCAGAAATGACTAATTAGTTTAACCCTTTGGGGCTTGTTAAACATTTTGAAAGTATCCGACTAACAGATTCCTGCAAAGTTCTGTGTGTGTGTTCCAGCCAACATCTCTCAAAGTCTAGAAACAGATGTTTCCAGTGCTGCTGAGAGAAGCAAGCAAACAAAAATTACTAATACATCTGAGAGATAAGCTTCTGCAGCATCATAAGAAGATTAAAGTGGCAGACACTCCTTCCAGCGGAAGTTACTAATTCGGACCTGACTGATGCAGTTCCCATAGCAACCCGTGTTTCCTGGGAAACCCGAAAAAGGTTGTCATGGCATCTCCTGCTCTCTAGCCCCGCCCCCTGGCCCCTGCCGTTTCCACAGTAACCTTTCCAGATGGTTCTGACTTACATGATTTCATAAGGAGAATCACTGTTTGAATAAACCGCACAAATAAAGTTAAGTCTGAGAATCCAAGGTGGTGAAATGAATCACAAAACGTCTTTTTTTTTTTTTTTAACTACAAAAGATCATTAATCTCATCCCATAATGACTGAGTCGAGAAGGAAAATACCGTCTTTGGAATGTTAGCTATACACCACAACCAGGTATGATTTGAATTCAATGCCAGTAATCAGGCAATATTTTAAAAGATGCTTCTCTACTTTTTTCTTTCTCCAAGAAGTTTCAAACCAACAACTGAAGTTTCATGACTGTGTGGTGTGCATAACCAAATGAGAAAGCCCACCAGTGTACCTGAGATCTTCAGGCTTCCTTTTTAAAAGAAATCCAAGTCTCACCACAGCACTGCCACCATCACAGCACTTGAAAAGCTAAATAAACTTGAAAAATATACAGGATGCACGTTTTTAACTGAGGGAATTGCAGACAATCAATAAAAAGGAGGGACGGGAAGGAACCAATTCTTGGGGAAATACCTGCACACTTCAGCCCTATGGCAGGGGTTGCCAGAAGACAAACAGAATCAGGTGAGCATTGTGTGGCTGCTAAGATACCCCCTCTTTGTGAAGGGAGCAGGGAAATGCCATTTGTACCCCCATGGTGACAGACACTGCAAGACCTGTAGTTTTAGATCACTTATAACACATTTTCCATTTGATTTCCATGTTGCTGTCTGTCCTATGGTTTCCATTGTTTCTTGCAGAAGGGTAAAAAACAAAGTCATTCCTCTGCAGAGTAAGCTTCACCCAAATGGAGCTGAAAGCGATTCCATTTGTTTTACTGACCCACTTGGCTTCTGAACCTGTTTCCTCCTTAGAAAGAATAAAAAAGTAGAACCTACTGCTATTAGATTATTGGTCCCATTTTAATTTTTATAATTGTTTGGTGGCGTGCCATGGTACATCCTTTGCAATGAAAGATGGTTAAGATGGAGAGAAGGGGACTATGTCAGCATAATCATTTTATTTTCTGTACATTATATTAATTATACAGTACACATTACCCATGAATGCTTTTTGTTTTGCTAAGATATACCTATTTTACTCTAGAGTGCATGAGAATAATTATTTTTAAAGCTCATAAAATGTTTTCAGGTACCCAGAAGACTAGTTTACTATTTGTGAATTTAGAGTGAAAATAGTGTTTGAGACTACAAGGTTGGAAATGGAAGGAAAAGACAAAAAATAGAGACAGGAAATCTATGAATGCCTAGCTGTTGGGTCATTGTTCTTATTTATGTGCTTGGACATAGGACTCCTTTATATAGAGTCATTTTTATTGAGGTTACATTGGCTTATCACATTATGAGGTCTCTACGTTTAGTGCTTTATGCTCTGATACTGTTTATAATACATTGTGATCTCATTTCCTTTGCTACTTGTTTGAGTTACCTTTAACACTGATCCACATTTGACCAAAGTGTTAGTTTTCCTAATAGCCAGAAATTGTTTTTATGACCCATTTTGGTGGTAATATGATAGAAACACTATAATTACATAAGAATGATTTTTTATATCGGTTCTTAAAAGACCTTAACGTAAAGATGAATAAAGTGCAAGAACAGTCTGACATTTCTTCAAAAGAGGTAGAAACCCTGATTCTTTCTCTAAGTAAATCATGGTGCTGCCATAATTCTTGGGATTGTATACTTACTAAATAACAATAACGGAGATTTTTTTTTTTAATCCAGAGAAACATGGCTTCTGAGTCATAACTTGGAAGTAGGCTCATTGCTTCTAGTCGCCATATTGTAAGCTCCTTAAAGGTTATAGGTTTGTGTCTTGACAGAGTTTTGGGTTTTTATGTCTGGCACAGAGTGTAGTGTTTTGTCTAGGTTAATACGTATTTGATGTGAAAATGGCTGTTATCCTATATTCGTGGTATTTTCAGATGTTAAATGATGAGCTATAAAGCAAAACTCTACCATCACATTGCCAGGGTTTGAATCCTGGCTTTGCTGGATGACCTTGAGCAAGTTTCTTAACCTCTCTGTGCTTTAGCTGCCTTGTTGGTAAAATGAGGATAATAAATAGTAGCTCATAGAGTTGTTATATTAAATGAATATTAAAATGTTAATAAAGGTATATTACAGCAGAGATTTTACTAAGAAGTCACATAATTGTGATCATTACAGGCATTATATAAGTAGCATGAGCTTTGTGAATGATATGAAATACATGAGTAATCATTGTCTTCCTTTTTACTTTCTACAAAAACAATAATTATTACCATTTCAAGGGTCAGCCATGTCCTAGAGATTTCTCAACTCTGCAAGGTAAGTGCTATGAATCTCAATGTAGGAGGGCAAAAAAAAAATACATGTTTAAGACTAAGTGATTTCAACAGCTAAATAAGAGATGCAGCATGCTTTGAGGTAAAGCTAGGTCATCCTGGCCCCTCGAAAACATTTTCCTTTTATTAGATGACTTGAAAGAGATTAAGAAAATTAATTTCTTAGGCATTCAGGTTTGGCTTTATCCCCTGTTACTAATTAATGAATTAATTATTTTGGAGATTTGAACATATCTCCAAAAACCTATTTAACTCAGTATGCTGAGAATTAACCTTTTTTCTAATCATCAGCTATTTTTAACCATATGGTTCATATGTTAGTTATTTAAATCAGATAAAAAGATTGACTTTTCTAGCAATAGATTATTTTCTTGTATGACTGATTTTCTGGATTTGATATTATAGGCAGAAAGTATAAACAGTCTTGGTAGTAATACCTGCCAGAACAGTGGATATTTTTGTTTTTTAAAATTACTTTCCCATTTTTATTCCTTAATCTACAATACTTCTGTATTGTAATTGTTATGTAAATTGTTTTTTTTTTCATCAGCCCATACTGTGCTTAGGTTACTGAAGAACCAGTCCAGAAAGAGTATAAACATATTTTCTCTCCCTTATAAAAAAGGGAGAAATTACCTTGAACAGAATTGAAAACAGAAGAATATTGCCAGATCATTGAAATTTGTGGCATTATGGCCTGACTCAGCCACTCAGAATCCATAATCTGTGTTGCAGAAAACATTTGGCTCTAGTTTTCGTCCTCTATGATAGCTGTAGCCCCTTCTTTAAGCTCATCCTCATTTAGAAGATGAAAACGCATGATGATTTGAAATGAGAGCAAGATGTCAGTGATTTACATGTGCCAGTTAGCTCTGCCAGACTAAAGACGATATTGTTGAACTCAGCTGCATCTCATCTTAGGTGTTGAAGGGTGCACATTGAGCAGGTGAGACTGGACTCAGATACACCCACCAGCACCCAGGGAAAAATGTATGTCCCCTAGAGCTGGTGGGCCCAGAGATTAAAGTCATTGAAGTGTCATCGTTGTATATTTTGTGGTATTTTAAACTGGTAGTACACCAGATTTAAATGCCCACCAACCACGGCAAATCATCACAAACAGCTACACAGAAGAGGAAATCTAACATCCGTATTTCTAAATTTTGAACTAACATTCTGGGATTGAGATTCCAAATGCACTGTATAAAGCAGCTTTCAGGGATAGTTTGTATAAAACTTGCTATTTACCTCTTTGACACAGCCAAGTAATTGCTTCACTGATTGCATGTAAGTTTAATATTTATTTCTAATATATAATGATAATCTGCTCCCTGAACAACTATAGCTATAGTTTACCGACTTCTACACATTTAAACTTGCAGTGTTCTCTACAGCAGTCCCAAGCCCTTCCCGCCTCTGCACTGTGAAGTGATAACCCCTCCCACTAAGAAATCCAAAGAAGCAAAGTGCCCTAGTCTGAAGACTTATGGAAACACTGTGAGAAAGAGGTGAGCGGCATGAGAACGGGGACAAAAACATTTCAAATGGCATCTTCTGGTGTGTTTTTCTCTTGATGTGTCGTATTTGGCCTTTTTAACTAAGGACAAAACTATTGCTCTTGTACTACCAACTTCCTTGGCAATTCAGTGTATAAATTAGTGAAATTGTTTTTTACAACGTGCAGGGAGTGGTTGATAGCCTAGGAGAGAAGGCAGATCAGAGGATCAGAGGGGCAGAGAGAGCCCCTCTGCCTGTATGACTCAGCCCCTAACTTCTGCCAGGAAATGGCCAGTGCAGGAGAGGAGGTGAGTAGCTTAATTCCTATCCCAGCCTCACCCTGAAACACAATTTAAATGACTTAGACAAGTTAGAAACTTGTTTTCAAGGATGCAGTAAACTAATTTTACCTTTACAATTCTGAAGAAAGGCATTCTACAAAGTAACACTCTCAGACTTTCCCTCCTTTTTCCTTCATTTTTCCTCTGTATGTACATCCTCGTATGTTCAAAATTTGCATCAGTTACAAGAAGGTTGTCAATAAGGTAACATTTAAGTAAGCAAAAGATGATGTCTCATCCCGCATGAAGAATGTTGTGAAGAAACCATGCTCTACCATGGCTACCAGGCTCTGACCCTGCAAACTCTGGGAGTGTGTTGCCAACATTCTAGGAGGAAGGAGACAGCCTATTTCTCTTGCAGTGAGCCCCCAGATCACCTTCACCCCGACCAGCGATGCACAAGGCTCTTTAGCATCCTACTGGGAGTCCCGATACATCTTTTCTTACCTTGTTGTTAATGTTTGTACAGTACTTGTTGTCTCCCCTAGGTATAGTCCAAACAGTCCTCCCACCACCACAGCCACCATGAACCTGGTAGCTCATGAACCAAATCCCTTGTGCTCTTCCCTCCCCTGTTACGGCCAACCTGGTAGCTCACGAACCAAATCCCTTGTGCTCTTCCCTCCCCTGTTACAGCCCTTACCCCCATACCTAAGATCTGTGGTCAGCTTGCAAGTTTTGTGTTTTTCTTGCTATGAAACTTTTACTAAGTTTCTCTATATTCTGCATATAAGTGAAACCATCCAATATTAATCTTTTTCCTTCTGGCTTATTTTGTTTAGCATCATCTCTTTCAGCTCCACCCATGTTGCCATATATGGTATGGTATGAATTTGTCTTTTTGACTGCCGAGTAGTATTCCATTGCATATGTATAACAACGTTTTGATTCATTGTTTTGGGACATTTAGGTTGTTTCCATATCTTGGCTATTTTAAAAAGCTAGTGCTTCAGTAAACATAGGAGTGCAGGTTGCCTTTTGAGTTAGTGTTTTGTGTCCTGTAGGTAAATTCCTAATAGTGGGGCATTGGGTAGATCCATTTTTAGTGTTTTGAGGATACCTCCACACAGCTTTCCACAGTGACTGGACCAGATTGCATTCCCACCAGCAGTACAAGAAAATTCCTTTATCTCCACGTCTTTGACAGCATTTATTGTTTACACTTTTAATTTTTTTTAATATGGAGCCTGAACATTTTAGAATGAAAATTAGCATTGCCCTTTGAATTATATGCAGTCAGCACTGCTATTCCACCTGGCTTTCATTCAGTTTATTTTAAACTCCTTTAAAATATGTTCTTTATGGAAATTCTCTCTGAGTGCTAAGGTTCTTGTTTGTTTACATGGAAACATTCTCCTTAAATGAGAACATGATTTAATTTGGAAAAAAAGTCAGTGGGGGTGATTTATTACGCACACAAATACACGAGGGTATATTTGCCTGCACATGTGTGCACACACACTTGACCTTTCACAGCTTGTTTTCTGTGCTAAGATAGATTGACTTTCTGTCTATAAATCTGAACAAATCATTCTCTTTCTGAGAGTTAGGGAATTTCGGAAATACCATTTTTCATTCATATGTACAATATAAACTTCTACAAGTCGTTTTTATTGTTTACACTCTTGCTTAAAAGGCAGATTTGTATCACCTCATATATCTTTACCTATGAGCAAGAGAGGCGCCACAGCAGAAGTACATTCAGTCGACACCCAACCAAGTTACTTCCCCTCCTAATTATGGCCAATGAGAATCCACTTTCCTACAAGGTGGCTGCCACCACTGGAGTCCACGCCATCATCCTCTCCTGGGTGAGGGGGGGAAGGTCTCCCAACTCACCTTCCTAGAATTCTCGTGACCAGCGTGACTCGTTCTCTACCTGGTAGCCAGGATGATCTGAGACTCAGCTCTGAGTACATCACCTGCCCCTGCTTGCTACATCTAAGGCCTTTTCCTTGCTCTTAGGGCATTGCCACACAGCCTTACCAGAGCACCACAGCTGTATCTGCACTGGCAGATACTGTATCTGCTTAAAAGGCAGATTTGTATCACCTCGTATTCTGCTTTGTCCAGCGCAGGGTAGACTCCCTTCCCACCTTAGGCTATGGGATATTTGCAAATGTGTCCTCGTCTGCCCCTCCCCCACTACCTCTTTAATTTTGTTTTGACTTTAATACTTACTGTCAGGACTCTGGTTTCATAAATTCCCCTATTAGATAAAGTGTCATCAAATTTGGAGTACCATTGATTATAGGAAACACCATTATTTTTCTGCCAATTATAAGCAAAGGACCAGTGATTTTTTTTAAATTTATTTATTTATGCGTATAGAACTGGGGTACAGGTCAGAGGTGCGGGGGTGAGAGGATTCACCAGAGACAGAGTGGGGAGCAGAACAGGCAGATCGACGAAGTACACTGCTGAGGGGAGCAGAGGGCGGGCCAGGAGAG